AAGACAGATTTTACCCCAAAACCCCAAAACCCCAAAACCCCTCAAGCTAAAGTAGAGATATCTTGATTGCACATAAGCTTAATGAATATCATAATAATAATTAACTGCTTCATTAAATCAATTAATTTCAAATTTTCAATTCAGAGCTTTGGCTTAAAATCTGTCTTATTCTTTTCCTTCTTTTATGCTTGCTTAAGCTCCTAGAACTTACTAATTTTTTCGGGTTATACCCCAATCTATTCTAGAGATTTCCATCCATCTTCCTATTTTCCACCATAGGTCTAAAATCCTTCCTTTTCAAGATCGAATACATTCATAACTTAGATTTAATCTTCAATCTTTGTCACTAGTCCCTTCGGAAGATCAGTATTATTTTCTAGTAAATTTCCATATTGTCTGATTACCTCAACTGGTCCATACTTCTATTCTATATCTTTTATAGTCATCTTCTCAAAAACTAACTAATATAAATCCTAATGCTAATGAGATTCATCACCTTCATCTTAGCCGTAAAATTAGAGTCTTGCATCATCATGAATCTTAGAACCAGGTTTAAGAACAAAGCAGACACCTTCTAAATCTCTGTAGACTGTTTCATGAGGTCTAGTGAAGTTGTTTATCACAACAGCATTTTTGTCTTTAATCTTATCCTTGCTAGTGATCTTGACAGTCTCCATTAAAACTAATTAGGATAGATAAGCAGTTGAATGAGTTAATGAGCAATCTATTGTTGTGTTTGGCTTTTTTAAATATAAGGCTTGCAATATCAGGTTAAAACAATATAGAGATCCACTAGCGAAATCAGCAACAATATTTGCTGGTGGAGTGGGCGCATTGTTCTTACTAACTCTTTTGAATTTATTTAAGAGACCTGTAATTGCCAAGTAGTTCATATCATGGCCAGCAAGTTCTCTTTACTTTGATTCTACTTATCCATACCCGCTTAATCTGGCATAGATAACCTTTGAGTTGTTATCATGAACTATATCGGGAGAGAGTCCAAGTTTTTCCATGACTCCTGGTCGATATGACTCCAGAATTATATCAATATGTGGAATCACATCATTCAGGAGAAATGCTCTATCTCTGTCCTTCTTTAAATTTAGAATTATACTGCTCTTTCCTCTATTCATAAACTGAAGTTTGCTTGGATTATTCCCCTTAGACTTTACAACTATAACGTGAGCTCCTTGATCCGCAAGCATCTAGCCTGTCATCTGTAGTGGGGGTAAAGCTTCGAATTCTAAGACTCTGATTCCTTTTAAAGCCATTTTAATAAATAATAATTGTAAATATCTTTAATAAATTAAGGTGATTACTCAGCTATTTCATCAGCTAATCAATAATTAAGAAATCAGTCTAGTTTCTTGAATTCCTCAAATAAGTTAAAGACTGCTTCTAAGACATTTTTATTTCCAAGCATTGAATCTGGATTCTCTACATCATCTTTAGGAACTTCATACTCATACAAAGTCTCAGTTCTTTATTTGAAGCCAATAGCCATGAGAAACTTAGCAATGTTGCCAGGTACTAATTTATCAAGGTTTTTGAAAAGACCTCCGTTGAGATCGAACCTATTCTTAGTTGAGTCTTTAATCATGTTTTAGAATGGAAATCCTAAGCTTCTCAATATATTCATTTTATCTTTCTTTTCCTGATACTAATTAATCATCTCTTCAAATTTAGTTCTGATATCTTTTAGCTACTCTTCATTCAACTCTATTTCAGCAAACTTCTTTGGCTCGATCTTTGTCACAGGTTTTTCTTGCTCTTTAGATTCTTCTTACTTCTTGTCAGATCCATCTAACTTAAATTCCTCATCCTCTAATTTTACCTCAATTTTTAAAGAGTCTGATTTTTCATCCAACGGTTGAGATTCTGATCCTAATTACCTAGATCTTAATTAGTTTAATACGCCTTAGTTGAATTTTTTCATTTCATTAAGAATGTCAGTGTTATTTGTCATTGAGTCCTTGATGACCTACTTAAGATCTCTCAACTCCCTAACCATTTCTATCTTCAAGTTCTCAATATCCTCCTTGAGTGGATCTTTTTCAGCTTAGTCATCACCAAGCAAACTGCTCTGTCCCCGTCTTGGTTATTAGTGTATCTATGAATGATTACTGACTTAGTTTGCCCTTAATTTTAGATTTAATGCCCTAGTTTTAACATCACCCATTAATTTACCATTCTCCATCTACTCTAATTTTTCGTTTAAGATTTGATCAACCTAATTTTTATTCACCAACTCTGATTTCTAAAAATTATCATGAGAGATTATCAAATTTTACAATCGTATTATTCTCGATTTCAAGAGCTCTTATCCTCTCATGGTTCTCTCTCAGAGTGCTCTCAACTCTGTCTTTAATCTCCTCTCTTAAATTTTTCTCTTGTCTGTCTTTAACCTTATCAAGCACATATGAAAATGCCATTGAGCTCAATATTGCAACAGAAGCAATATTTGCTACTTGCATGAACATTGATGATTGCTATTATATCTTTTAAGTAGCATTCGGGCTACCCTAAACATGTATCAGAGCCGAATCCATAGTTAAAGGTGGATTGCTCTAGCTAGTCTTTTAGTATTCGGTAAACCTCTTCAAAACCTCCGATATCTCCTCCTCAGTCAATTTGCCTTCTAGAAATTTTTTTTTCTCATCAAAACTAATATTTTTCACTATTCATTCATTAGATTGTCATAATATTACTCTTTTCTTCATTTTTCTGGAGGAAAGTAAGAGCTTGACGTATTTAATCTTCTCTCATTCGTAATAGATTAATTATAATTGTAGTTTTATTAAAATTATTAGCGAAAATAAATGATGAATGATGGGGTTTTGGGGTTTTGGGGTTTTGGGG